TCAGTTGACACCGCTCTCAATACCCAATCTGAAGCCTGGGTTTCATGTATGTCACACATGCACCAACGGCTTACTGCCCATCCCATTTATGGTGCATTTTGTTTTTCTAGCATTTAATTTATTGCCTATGAGTTATTATTTTTTACTTTTTTTTTTTTTTTTTTTTTTTTTTTTTGTTTTGTTTTAAGTCTTCCAGCTTTTCTACATTTTTAGAATTTGTTTGAACTCCATATCCCATGGTCCCCTTACCCTTCAACCTTTGGCAGTATTGAAATAAACATGTCTGAGAAGCATTTGATATAATTGTTCACTATGCCAAAATGGTGATTAGGCTGTACTTTGTCAAGCACAGTGGGTCTTTGGAATTTCCGAGCATTATTCGTTTATCCTCCAAAGAAGCAGTATAACACTTTTTTTGTGATAATGTCTATCTCTTATCGTTTGGACTTTTGTCATGTCGTGAAATGCACTCGTATACAGCCTATCAAGTGCAGCCAGCAAAGTCGACCATTTTGAGGTGGTTGCAGGGGAAGACTTTTTATAATTGAAAAATGTTTTGTTATTGCTCAAATATTTACCTTTAAGTTAGCATGTATGCCGTTTTTACATTTAATGGGTAGGTCAAACGGAAGCCAGCCAACATGTACATACTCTTTGAAATGTCATTTTTGATTTTCACAGTGTGGGCAAGTGGGATGAGTGAAAATACTATTTGTAAACTCTGCCCTGAAGATGTTGCCCACTGTGTTCCAAAGGTGTGTTCTTGAAATAGATTTGCAGATGTGGCTTGGTTATTCTCTGCAAACAATCAGCCATTTGTTTGATGGTGCTTAGATGTTTTCATTGGTGCTTTGATGTTTTCATGAGTAAATTAATACGTTCATGATGTTTTATAGAAGATGACTTTCTTTTTCCCTTACATTTGTACAGTGTTTAGTGTGACGGTCCATTGACAGTATTAAGTAGGCTTGGGCGGTATTCGTTTTTTCATTCTGTCATACCTTCAAGACATTTCACCCCGGTATACTGTATATGATGGTATTCAACAAGGTGAATCTTGTATACTCCTGTAAACTTCCATCAGTCTGGAAGTTGAGTGCTAGGGAAATGAGAGAGCTTAAAAAGATCACCCTTCATCAGTTGACACCGCTCTCAATACCCAATCTGAAGCCTGGGTTTCATGTATGTCACACATGCACCAACGGCTTACTGCCCATCCCATTTATAGTGCATTTTGTTTTTCTAGCATTTAATTTATTGCCTATGAGTTATTATTTTTTACTTTTTTTTTTTTTAACCCAAGTGAAGCTCCAATCACTATGCTGCGCACTAAAATACTTCACCTCAATACTGTATCTCCATTTCAGTTTAATAGAAAGAGGAGCATCTGTATTGTTGATGGTACTGAATACAGTACCTTTGGGATTTCTAAATACCGTAATTCCCTCAAATCACCCAAGCCTAGTACTAAAGTGTGTATTTTCAATAGAAGAAAAAAAGGAATATGCCTTCAATCCTCACCTTTTTTTTTAGGTTCCTGTTGAGCGGTAATAAAATGTACTATACATATTTTTAATTTAATTTTCAGCTCCTAGTCTTTATATAGCTAAGCAACTGAAAGATGTATGTTGAGCATTGACTTTATTTCAATTGAGAGGTCAAAGCGAAGTAAATCCTCAAAATGAATGGAATCCTTTTATTATTGTACAAGTACAATGAAACTGAGTGTGAAACACTCTAGTCAGTGCTACAGAAAATTAAGCAAGTACTGGATGGTCTGTCAGAGTAACACTTCTGGTTGTAGTATTGCACAAAAGCAGTATTATATGTATAAAGAGTATTGCACTAGTGATGGGGGTCCGTGTGTTCAGCTGGGTAACCACTCTGCAAAAAGAGCTATTCCTTAGTCTGGTTGTGTGGGTGTCTATGTTCCATAGTGTTTAAAAATTTCAGAGAGTGCAAAGCCACTATCTGTTTGCCACCATAAAACTCCAAATGGACATCTATAATATTGCTTAGTTTTTATACTGTATCTAATCTTTGTATTCATCTTTGTTTTAATATCTAAATTACCTGATGGATGGTACCTCAAACATCTCTTAAGCTAAAATATACTTGTAACCTCTGCTGTTGGGGAAAATGGAGAGGGGTGAAGGATCTGACCTAGGATAAGTGCCCCAGTCACTGGGTTTTTTGTGCGTTTTCCGGAACCGTTTCCTTTCATAAACAAGCCCAGTATGCTGCCATGTCAACAAAAGGTGGTTTTACCCTTTTTTCAGTTTTTTGGTTGATGTACAGAAATTCTGTATGTATACAGTCTTATTAAGAAGCCAAGAGGCTTCAGAATGTTTGTGGGTAAAATACTTTTACTTATGAATTAAATATTTAATAATCAAATATGTTTAATAGGATGTGCTGTGTATTGCTGGCTGTCTAAGTCTAGCAAGATGTGCCCAGATTTGGAACTATAAATCAAAGCTCTCAGACGAATGATGGTGGTCTTGGAATTTGGTTCAGCAGGTTGAGCGCTGTGGGCCTCCTAGACTTTAGCACTATGCTTTGGAGAGCAGAAGCTCGGGCAGCAGAGCTTTGGATTCTCCAGCTAACAGACGGAGACTCTCCCTTGGCATCCCCCATGGGCCTTCACACCAGATTGCATCCTCCGTGCCAGAAGAACACAATGGTCCCCAGTTCCTGGTGACAAGAGGCTTGATGTTGCTTGTGACCACAATCCTTGTGGGTATTCCAAGCTGCAACATGGAAATCAGGGACACTGACCAGGGAAACAACCCTGGAAACTGCCAATTTTTGAAGAGTTGAGGCTACTTTTATAGGGGATTGAGGTATGTACATAATTACGAGAGCAACAATGATTCCTTGTTCGTGTTTACAGAATGGCCAAATATTTTGAACTCTACCTGAATTTACTAAATGTAACTCATTAGGTTTATTCTCCTGTTAGTTATTGGACAAATGAAAAATTTCCCAGCTCCATGGCAAAACTGACGACTTCCAGCTCAGAAAACGGAAAAGTAACATCACAAACAGGAGTTAAAGAGAATTAAATAAAATATATAACACAGAATAGGAATCAAATAAACCGTGAGATAATCTGTTTTCAATGAAGTATATGGTTATGTAACTAGTTCCTTATAAGGGGTAAATTAGCTTAAAAAAAGCTATATAGTAGAGTGCCTCATCACAGTAGTCACCTATTATTATACCATGATAATATTAATATTGCACATTGTGTCATGGTATGTCACTCAACAGTAGAATTTGTGGTTATCCATCCATTCTCTGAAAGCACTTATCCTATGCAGGGTTGCAGAGGGTCCAGAGCCTATGGGCACAAAGCAGGGAACAACATAGGATGGGGCACCAACCCATTGCAGGGCACACTCACACCATTCACTACCTATGGGCAATTTGGTAACTCCAGTTAGCCTCAGCATGTTTTTTGGACTGTGGGGGGAAACTGGAGTACCCAGAGGAAACCCTACGATGACTCAGGGAGAACATGCAAACTCCACACACACGTAACCCAGGCGGAGACTCGAACCCACATCCCAGAGGTGTGAGGCAACAGTGCTAACTACTGCACCACCATGACTCCTGTCAGTAGTTTTATCTCCATAAAAAATGTTTTCTTTGCAGTACATAAACTATAATTGATATGACTATAGACAGAAGAAGAAATTTCAGGACTGTGGGAGGCAGGAAAGCACAGAGTCCATACTAGTTTTCATTAACTTTCTCTAAGCACAATTGCACCACTTTCATAGTTAAACCAGTGGTTAAACTGTTGCAAGTGACACAATCCTTTGGTGTTGGGATACTAGGAGTTCAGTTGCCAGATTGTATATCGGATGGTAATCTAACATTTGAGCATGACAAGTTGAAAATCTTCCAATCATTATTTTTAAATGCCACTCAAATGTATTACAATGAGAAATTCTTATACATAAAAGGAGTAACTGGACATTCAAATAAAAGACGGAGGTGGCAACTCATTGCTGTTTTCTTTATTGTAACAACACAGCATATAAAACTCTTAATGTATATGCAGACAAGACAGATTTCAAAGAAAACATCAATTAGATTTGTCATTAAAAAACATTTAATCTCAAAAGCTGTTCTGTGGGGGAAAAAAAGACAGGTCTAAACATTCACAGGAGCAGCATAAACATTCATTGTAAAGGTGGTGCCTGCTATTTTTGGACAGCACAATATACCACACAAAATGACTAGTGAAGTACAGGCTGATGTCCATCTCACACTGAGCAACAGTTCAAGCCATAATGCTCATTCTGCATGGTGGGTGTATGTAACAGGCCAGAAAACATCTTACCACTTCCTACCTTATTTACTTCATTTACTCAGTGTGAAATATTGTCTATTGATGCAGGCCTTTGGCAGCTATTCTGAAAATGTCATGTGCCTGAGTTAGTGTTGTCAGAAAGGTTAATGCAGATCTGACCTTGCCTGCTAACTCGATCTTTTGACTGATGATACAAATCCCCAATTCCCCACAGTTTGGTGGCTATTCTCTTATTTAGATAAACACTTGAAACAACACTGTTTCGCAACCTGTTATCACGCCAGCTCAGAACAGAAAACCATTACAGGATGTCATAGAAGCAAAGGACATGACAAAAACAGCCACCCCGTACATCACAGAGTCACCCTGTTACAAAATAAACAGTTCTACAGATGTGTCGCTATCACAGACCTGTCAATCTCTTCCCAAAACCTTGCTTATATTACGGCAAAACAAATAAAATAAGAGAAACAGCTCTCTTGTCACACAATGGCCTCTGAGGCAGACAGAACTACAACGGGAGGAATGAATGAGGTCAGAAGAGTTCATTGCACTTTGATGTCAATCCTCCAGACACTTTTCTGGGACTTCATTCATCCTCTTTCCCTCCGGTTTTGCTCAGCTGTAAAGGGGAGATTGAGAAATATACTGTTTAAACTAGTATAAAACCTACATCAACTGACATCATTTTAGTATAAATAATGAACATGTAGCTGCAAATGCAGAGCAGCAGGTGATTACAATGCTGAGACTATTGTATTTAATTACTGAAATTAAAGTATACAAACTTCAAAGAGCAATTGTGATTAGGGCTGCACGATATTGGGAATAAATCACATTGCAATATTTATTCTTTCTGCGATATATATTGCGATTTCAAAAATTCTAATTAGTTCAATAGCTCTATTGCAGGGGTATTCAACTAAAATTTAAAGAGGTCCAGTTAGAGAAAATTTCTTGAAGCAAAGGTCCGGAAGATCATAATGTCTAACTATTTAGTGTGATGTATATTTAAGTAGCATATCAGTTGTATCAACATTGCATGTAATCAGTACCTGACTATCAAATCAAATTAATTCAGTGCAATTCAATTCGAGATGTCTGCACACACATGTAACAGTTCTTACCTTGTAAATAGTATGCTTTTGTATTTAACCATGTAAACACACTTTTGAAATAGCTCATTTTAGGTTTATAATGGAATAATATAGATTTGCCGTAAGATTTCCTGCGCAAGTCTGAAATCATGAGTGGTGTGCCAGATGCTGAAAACGTACAATTTTTATTTCACCTGAGTTGATCTATATAACAGATAATATTACTTTATACATGTTAAAAAGCGGAAACTTCCAC